GGCACATTCGCTCTCACACAGGTGAGAGACCCTACCCCTGTGAGACGTGTGGGAAGCGTTTCACTCGGCAGGAACACCTCCGGAGCCATGCTTTAAGTGTAAGTTTGAACGATTACGTCTATCAGGAAATTTTTGAAAGTTTTTGGCCTTTCCCAATCGTATTTCCCAAAATACGTTGGACAAAATGATGGTTGCCAATGTGGGATAAACTTTTCTAATAATAAGTTTGAGCCACTGGTATTTGGCTCATTAGTACTTAACGTAGCCCCAAATCTTTGTCGCTGGAAATGGGATGGGATCGTCTGCCCTTTAGCTTAAGTGTAGGTGTTTTTCTGTTCTAGGAATCCATGCAAACCTGCACCCCAGAAAGAGCTAAAGCAAGAAGGCAGGTTGCCTTTTTTACCACAGTGTTTTATTTTTAACTTCAGGTGCATCGATCAAACAAGCCGATCATCTGTAAAGGCTGCAGGAGAACATTCACGAGCAGCCTGTCTCAAGGACTGCGACGCTTTGGCTTGTGCGACAGCTGCACCTGCGTGACCACGACCCACGAGGACTCGATGCCCATTAACCTCAGCCTGATGGAACCTTCATCGGAAGGCCAAGAGAAGGGTGATGCGGATAACGATTGGCCCATATACGTGGAGTCTGGAGAGGAAAACGATCCAGCTGATGATGATGATGCCGACGGTGATGACAAGCAGGAAATCCACAGGAGCTTATCAGACCGAGAAACACTTATGTAGCAGTGAGAGGAGAGTGGGAGCGTTTAAAGTGTCTCCCTGGCAGTGGTCAGTCTGCAACAGAAAGCTGCGTATTTGCCCAATTAGTGAGACTGTGCTGGGTTTTATTATTCCGTTTTTTAATAGAAGAGGGGGGGGAATTGGAATTTTTAATACTTTTAAGTTTTCAGTGCTGTGCACCAGAAATCTGTGAAGAATCTTCTGTCTGGGGTTCACAGAGGTTGTACTTGAGCAATTTCCAGTGGTGTCTCTGCCTCCTAGTTTTGATTTTGCAGGTGGAACATCTCTGTTTTGTTTTGGTAACAGGTTTCTTCAAATAATGCTGTCATGGTCCTTAATCCCTGATGTGAAAGGAGCACTATCTTCTCTCTGAAGATTACGTGAAAAGAAATGCAGTTTTCATCCATTACCTTGGACTTTTCTAAACTAAGCTGGGATCCTTCTGTACTAGGACAGTATTAGCTAAATTGTAAACCTTAAGTGTTTGCTTAGACTGGATTTCACCTGGAAACCAGGGCCGACAAACCAGGATAACAAAAATATGCTGCTGCTGAAAGCATAGACAGTAAGAATAAATATATTTCGTATGTCCTTAATTGCAGGTATTTAGAGAACAAGCTTCTCTTTCTGAATTGTTTTTACTGCATCTTCCTCTCTCAAGAGCTCGGACTACAGATCTTCAGATGTGTCTTTAATGTCATTTAGACATTAGTAGTCTTGGCTTAAGAAATAGTAAGCGCATGCTATGGTGTCTAGTGTCCTGGTCTCTCCGTTTAGACTAAGCAAACTGCCCAATTCTCTTCAGCTTTTTACAGTAGAAGTTAAAAGCTGTCAATCGGGTTACTTGGAAATTCTGATTCTGGGAGTTTAAATAGCCAGATTCACAGCTGATGTAGCCGAGGAGCAGTTCAATATAAATATCTGAGCTATGCATATAAACCAGCTCTGAATACCCTTCTTGAAGCAATTGGGTAGGAAATCTCAGAAATTTTTACTAGTGTCTTTGTATGCAAATCCTTTTCTTTCTCTTTTACTATATTTCCTTTTAGTCTTCGGTGATCCTCCTCGTGGTTTATGGTGTTCCAAGTACTGTTTTTTTGTTTTGGGGTTTTTTTTTTTTTAAAACTTCAGCGTGGACCTCATGTTTCTTTGCTGGGAGAGGTAAAGGTTGGCTTTCAAAGGAGGTGAGATTTTTTTTTACCTTTCCAGTACCAAGTTGATATAAGCTATCAAAAATCAAGCTGGGAAGCTTTGAAGAAAACGCACCACCAACAGAAAGTCTGTTTGCTTATGGGTAACCTGCTCTTTCCTAATGAAGAGACAAAACTGAAATATACTGTGAGATAAGACTGTTAATGCTTCTTTACTATGTTGTTTATAAGTGTTTCATGAAAAGGCAAATTGTATGAGTCTTTCTGGCTGGAGTAAGCGCTAGATCAGAAGCCTGTAGACAGACATGGCTGACAAAGAGTGAGCAGTTCCTCCCACTTAACAAGACGGTGCTTCTTGAGGTTTTTAGAGTAAAGGCTTTACACTTGGCAAACGTTAGATGGAACCTAAAAAACAGAGAGCCCTCTGATTTAACCAGGGTGGGGGGTTTTTGCATACCTTTTATGCTTTTATTTTCCACACTGAAAAAGAACAATTCAGCTTCTCTATCTGCTTCATCCTACAGTGAAACAGCAGTCGTATAGTGATGTCGCAATTTACTTGTGAGAGGCGATTCTGATGTCACAAATGCAGTTAAGAATTCGTTGCCAGATCAGGTAGGATGAGGAAAGAAGAAACAAGCTCCTTTTTAAACAAGTCACTTTACTAGTGATTCCTGAAAACGGCAGAAAGTAGAGAGACTTGTTTTGCAATGGTCTGGTCTAAGTTCCTGATGGGTGCCACCTTCGCAAGAAGATACTGGCATCGGGTGAGATGTTTATTTTCTGTATCTGAAGTTGCATTAAGCTTTCATTAGTCCCTATTCCAGGTCATCTGTAAATTTGAGTTTGCAATAGCTGAACAGTATCATAGTGACGCACATCATCATAGAAAAATCTCACTGGGACAAGATCTTTAACAAATTCTGGGCTCTATAGCCCCTATTTTAGCCATCTAAATTAGGACCGTCAAAGAGACAACTCGTGGAGATGCCAGATTTGGAGCTGAGCTCCTTTGAAAATCCTGCTGGCGTTTTGGGTCCTTAGCACTTTGGAAAATCTGAGCAAAACGTGGGCTTGTAAATCTTGCCAGCACATTTGAAAATGCCACCTCCAGCCTACCAGGGCTAGTCTTTTGGACTGCTACTCTATTTTTGTTGAGTCCATCCAACGTCAGAGGGTATTTTTTTGGTATCTGCTTATCTGAGAAAGGACGGACTTCTGCATGTGAGAACACCTGAAAAAGAGTCACGGATTATCTGTGTGTGTTGGGAGACTAACTCGCTAATGAAAGTGGGGTAAGAATGTAAACGGGGATCCAAAATGATATTTAGTGACCAGGCATCCCAATTTCTGGTCACTCTAGCATGAAGATGCCACCTCGTTGTAAATATTGGTAGAAGCCACTAGACACGGGATATCAGCTGAGCATGGTTCTGGCCAGCGCGCCACAATTAAACTGTCGGAAGATGTAGCTTCTCACACGGCTGAGCTGTGCTGAGGTGCGGGCTAGCTAACTCTGAAACTGTGAAGGCGTTCAGAGTAGGGAAAATTAACCTCTTGGGGAAGTCCGTGTGTAATAAGAGCTGCAGGAATGACTGCGGAGACCTTCAGCGATTTTACTTCAACCTGCTTTCTTTGGTCTTAGAGATTGTTCTTGTGTGTCTTGTGCATAGAGAATGGAGCTGTGTTAAGGTTTGTGTAACGCTGGGCAAGGGGTGCGGGTGGGGGGTACGCCGTTCACATTCCAGACTGAAAGTGACCACCCAAATCGATGTTTCCTGTGGAACTGTCATATTGTGCCGCTTTGTTTTCCGTGGAGTCCTTCAGCCTTTGTATTTAGAAGAGGATGTAGTTCACCCACTTTCTTGTGACCAGACGTTCATGTAAATCCGATTGCTGTGCTTTCCACTTAGTTTTTGGATGTCTTTCCTGAAATCTTCCATTGTAGACCCAGCCTTTGCAAGCTTTGAGAAAACGATGTAGCTGTTTTAAAATATTCCTATGGTGCTTAATGAAGAATCAAAAATAATGTTTTTAGGAAAGTTATTTCTAATATAATCTCTTTCTCAAAGTTTTTTAAAGGCCATGCAGACTACATATCTTAAAGTCTTAGCTCTACGTAATTGACTTTGTTTAGGAGTATACGTTTTAACGTACTTTTGCACATAATTGCACTGTATTTTACTAAAGGAATACATGCTGCACTGGTATTCGTAGCGCATTTAACCTCTTGGTGCAAGACCTTGTAAATCTTCCAAATGTGGTTATTTAATTTACTGATGTTTTGTAAGGCAGTTTCATAACTGAAGTCCTTTAGTCTAGTTTAAATGACAGATTCTTATAAACCGGACCTTATTTGTAGAAGTGACTTAACTATATTTGTGGAACTTGGAGCATTCTGGAGTTTTTTGATTGTCTAGAAAATAAAACTCTCCGAGAGGGTTGCTTTGATTTTTTTACCGTTCAAAAGTTGACTGAGTAAACCTGAGAGTGTCTAGATTAAGGCTCACATTTCAATTCTGGGAATTAAAAATGAATATAGCCATTTCTGGTGACAGACACTTTGCAAACAAGAATCAGATTCTTGGTAGGAAAGGATTAAAAGGATGCTGTCAACGTAAAACCCAGCCAGCTGGGTTTTTTTTTTTTAGAAAATCTTTTATATTCTTAACACTGGCTTTGTTTCCTTACCAGTTTTTGTAGTTTTGTAATCATCTTAGCTTTTTAAACTCTCTTTAAAGCTTTTAATTTTTTGTGCTGGGTGAGAAAAATCCACGCAGCTGGGAAGCAGTCGCTGATCTTAGCTAGAAGAAAATGCTGCCAAATGCCTACAATAAAATGCATGCGGGGGGGGGGAACAGGCTCCCAAATATTCTTTCGAGATAATGTTGAACGATATTGGATATTTCACAAATGGACCTCTTTAAACCTGCTTTTACAGGTGTTTTTTTTTTTTAAATAAAAACCTGTATTTACCTGCTGATTTAGAATATCCTGAATCAATGAAAAATGTAATAACCCCTTCTTTCTTTTCACTGTTTTCATTCGAACAGTGAAATCTGTTCACTTTTATTGGGATTTTTAGGTTTCTACATTTTTGTTTCAGAAGTGCCTGGAAATTATTCATATTGCGCAAAACTTGTTTATTGTTTTTTTTTTTTAAATCATTAAAACATTTTTTTTAGTATTAAAGATTTTTGGATCCAACTTAAGTTGACAGCGCCCTGTAATGTGCACATAAAAATTGCATTTCTTCTCTTAAAGGCCACTGTTAACAAGTCAGCCAAATAACTGAAGACAGTCTGGTTGTTGCCTTTTGTTGGATTGTTTGAAATTCAGATTTTCTACATGTCTAGAAATATTAGTAACATGTATGAGAATATAAAGGGCATGAAGTTGTTAAAACCTTGCCAGCGGCTCCATTTAGATGCGTACGTGTGGTGTGCATGCCCACACGGAGCTGCTTTTAGGTCTGGCGTTACAGTTAAGATGTCATCATCTCTGCCATGTAGGTCAGCGGAGCACTTCTAGTAAAACACAATGAATATAACAACTTTTTTTGGTTTTTTATTAAATGGTTATAGGCAGGTGTCTGGATACTAGAAAAAACCCCACCAAACAACCAAAAATCAAACCAAAACAAATACCACTCCTCTCCCTCCCCTCCCCCCCCAAAAAAATCCCCCTCGAAACAGCGTGCTGTACACGGCAACTTTAAACGCCATCCCCAAATACCCAAAGGCGATATACTAGGCTTTAAACTTCGGACTGCCAGTTGAGATGCAAAATATTTTAACTGTCAAAATATATGACTCTACTTCTTCCATGCTTTTAGCATAACCAGCTAAGTCCTGTGAAGGCTTAGACACACATGATGGGTCCCACTGATCACGAGACTAGTTACAAGGGTAAAATTTAAGCATACACTGACAGTTTTGCAGAATTAGAAACCAAATCAGC